CTCACACAGCTTTCACTGCCCAATGAGCATGCAGTTAAAACAACTAAAATAACATGACATAAAGACACAAGACACGTTGAAAAACAAACTCTTACACACACACGACAAAGAAAAAAACTTGATATTAAACAGCCCCAAATTATCTTCTATTAACAACTCAATTCTATTGGTAGCCCACCACACTGATGGTTTGAAATCTTCCAGCTCTCATTTAAGAGTCTCAGGGAGTCTGATTTACTTCTCAATGGCCCATTCATCCTTTGAACGTTTACTCTGTAGCCTGTGCAGTTATAACCTAAGTTGGATTTCATATATGAAAACTGACCTCCAGCACCCAATATTTTTGCCAAGTCTCAGTAAGGGCTCTTGGAATAATTTAGAGTTTGCCATAATGACAAGTTTAAGATTCAATTATTAAGTGTAGTAATTTATTTTTACTATGTTTGTAAAATGGCTTTCGCCCAACTAATTTCACTCCCCTTCACAGCCAAAAGGCCTAAGATAGCAACGATGATCCTCACAGCAACACACAACAGGGCAGTTCGCTCTTGGTTGTTTAATGCCACGTCAAACAGAAGGATTTCTACAGGACTCAGATGGAGACATTTCTCTCTTGCCTTAGTTTGGGCAAAAAATTGATGTCCTTCAGATAGCTGTAATGGATGGTGAGGACGGCAGAGAGTAATCAGGCCCAGCCCGAGGCAAATGCCAAAAGTTTCCCAGAAGGATAAATCTTGTTTCCTGCCTTACTTCACAGAATTAAGCCTTAAACAAGTCATGTTCTGTGGCTTGGATGCTGTGTTTATATCAGCTTTGGCTCCCTGGCTTGTGGTTGGGAACATTGTATTGGTCTGTAACTCAGGACGGTTTTCCTGAAGCAAGAAATCACTACGCCGGTATCTTTATCTCCCATTCCATTTTATTTGTTCTATTAATACTGGCAAACGAGCTCTGAATGGTAAGTGGATTCACAGGAGACAGTGACATTGACCAGGTGCAGCTCGCAAAGCCAGTGATTTAGCGCTCTGAGTTGGTAACCGTCTTTCCCAGGAGTTGTATGAAAGATGCCTCTTCGTAAAGGATTTTGTTTTGGAAAATAATAACAGTACCTCATCTGTGCACGGCTCATTCTCGATAGGTTCAGGAAAAAATCTTTTCTGTAGAGTTCAGGGTAGGCTGAGACCTTGTGGTCTCTCAGTGTCTTAAATGAAACCAAATCCTCTGGGGAGTGCATTCGTTTATGGTTAGCAACAGGCGACTTCCTGTTTCAAAGCAAAATGGGCTTGAAGAGGCTTATAAAAAAGACTCAAAAGGTTTCTTGGACATCAAATGACTCTAGTAAAACATTTCGATGAGTTAAGTGTAAATGTACCAGCAGCATACGGATTAAATTCCCTTCTAAATAAACATTAACAGAGAACATGTTTGGCAAAATGCATTCTGAGTTTTGCAAAACTGAAAACATTTGAAAAAGGAGTGTGAGATATTTGATGAACTCAGAAAGCAGCCGGATTGCCCATCCCATACTTGAATATTGTCTTTGGATGTTCTGCAGATGTCAAATAAATTAGGATGCAGATATTAAGGCCAATGTCTGCTGCAGAAATGATCAGCTGTCTGTCAGTTAGGATGGTGTTTTTGTGTATACCCTGTTCCTGTATGTGTGGCTGAACAGAGCCGTGGGGGGCCTGTAACCCTTTCCTCACCTACAAGCATTTCAGTCTTCTTTCCTGGATTCAGTCCTATAAGACCTTCTATTATTCACAGCTTTTCCAACTGTTTTGCTGCCTGTGAGATATTTTGGCTTCCAAAGAGGATTCCTGCTTTGCTATATATTTACAGTGAAACTTTGGTGTCAGCAGGCAGATGACAGCCTTGGTGTTGCTTGGGCCAAGGCCTTTTATCCAGAAGCCACTGTCCTTGTCAAGACTCTTATTATCTCTCACTATCTCTTTTTTCTGACATGCTCCCGAAACAAAATTTATGAATCCTTTGAGATAGTGGAAGTAACAGTGGAACAGAAAAGATTAAGGGGAGAAACATTTTACATGGGCCATCAACTACACTTGGTAACTATTAATAAACGTAGAAAATAATCAAATGTTACTCTAAGGGTTGAGTTTTAGTGATCATATCAATGGCGAAGTCACTGAATTAGACAAGCACCGTTAGAAATCTTTTCCATTATTAAGTCCGAAAGAGCAGGAAAACACACTATTGGTATCCTTTTTACAAAGTATTTGACCTAGAATAACAAATAGTCATGTCACAGGGCAAACCTCATACAATTTGGATGTCACTACCTTGTAGTCTGTAATTGCATTGACTTACGATCATTTTGGTCTTGAACAGTACTTGCAGAAAGTAGATTTGAAGAAAATTAACAGGCCAATACTCGGCAAGTATTATGTTGAAATATTTAAAAGACTAGAGGTTTAGCTCAGTGTATTTTGGCAAATAATATTATTTATAGATAAGTAATGATCCACTACCATACCAAAAATAATACAGACAATTAATATGCTACTCATTAAAATGTTTACTAAAGTCTTTATAGGGAGCACCCACTTCTCTTTTTGGAATTATTCAACAGCCAAACAACTGTCAGCATCTTCTCTTCTGCTATCTTCATGCATTCATTAAATGGTTTTTCCATTAAGGCCATGGTGAGACTGAGTCTGTTGATTTCATTTCTCTCTACTTTCAAATTACTCTACATATGGTTGCCAGAGTTTTCTTTCAAAAGGACTAGTCTTGTCATTCACCTGTTCAATAATCTTTGATGCCTACCAGGTGCCTCCAGAATAAAGCCCAAGTTCTTTAACCTGGTGTTCAAAACCCTCTGGTCTGGCCCTAATTCACCTTTCAGTTCATGTTCCACCACCTCATAATCCGGTCATACCAGACAAATTCCCTATTCCCAGATTCCACATGTTCAATATGCTCTCATAGTATTTACTACTTCTTCTCAGCATTTTGCACACTTGAAAATATTTGTTAAATTATTTGTTTAAACAGAGTTTTCCCACTAAACTCCCAGTTAAGTGAGGGTAAGGGTTGTGTCTGCCTCATGTATTCTGTTTCCTCAGGGTCCATCTCAGTGACTGGAACACAGTAGGTGCCCTGTGATACCTGTGAACTCATGGAGCCACCTTTCTGTTTTCTTGTGGCACTGACTGTGTGTTTATATTATAGCACTTGTGAATTCCAGTTTGTCTATCTGACTTTCCTACCATGATTCTTTGAGCCTAGAGGGCAGAGACTGTGCCTTCATTCATTTCTGTATCCTTAGCACCTGGTGTAGTGCTTAGCACACCCTGAATACTCAATACATATCTGATGAAGTTAAAGAACATTTGCTGCAGGTTCTAAAAAATCATGCCATTCCTTAGGTAAGCCTACAGGCATGGTGACAATTTTGAGATGTAGCTCTCACTCCTGCATAGAAGGCAACATTCTAGGGCAGGCAAGTTATAGGTCATAGGCCAAGTCTGTCTGCCACCATCTCTTTTTGTAAATAATTTTATTGGAATATTCATTTTTATACTGTCAATGTCTGCTTTCATACTACAATAGCAGGTTTGAATAATGGCAGAGACTAAGGACTTTCAAAGCCCAAAATATTTTCTATTTGGTCTTTTATATATGAAGTTTGCTGTCCACTGTTCTAGGGAAAACACACAAATAAGAATACTAATTGTATTTACTTTATATAGTGGTTATAAGCATTAAATTAAGTAACATCTACAAAACGCTTAGTACCATCTTTGGCATATATTAATTGTCAAACTGTTAGGTATTATCATCATTATAGTATCTTAATTATTTTCTAACAGTTGCAAACATAGGGAGGAGCAGGCCAGTAGAAACTCGATATATAGGCCATTCCAGAAGCAGGGATGGAAGAAGTCAAATCTAAGAGCTTGGCATTGAGCTAGAAGCAAAGTACAAAACAGACCAAGTGTTGATAGAAATGTCATTTGATATCAGTATATGACCATCATATTCCTTGATGGTTTTATTATCATCCCCATTTTACACATAAGAAACCTAAGACACCAAATCCTCGTCCATTTGTCACAGATACTCAAGCTAGAAGTCACGGGGCTGAGACTAGAAATCAGAACTTGAAAGGACTGTCCACATGAGAAAGAAACCGAAACAAGTCTGTTCCCTGTCTCAGGCAAACAATCATCAACTGGGCTAGGACGATTTGGGAGAAAGAATGACCAAAAGCAACCAAAACCTTGCAAGTCGTGGGAATCCAGAAAGGAAGCATTAACACTGAAATCAACCTCCTGAGTAATAAACATATAAAGAGCTGATCAATGTCATTAGTGATTAGGGGAATACTAATCAAGACCACACTGAGGTATTATTTAACAAACAGATACATTTTGCAATTGGCACATGTTTTAAAAGTCTGATATTGCCAAGTGTTTGAAAGGATAAATTGGAGGAAGATTTTAAACTTTGCTGATGGGATTGTAAAATTGGTGCAACCACTTTGGAAAACAGCTTTACATGACCTTTTAAATTTGAACATTTATATATCTTATAGCACAACAAATATACTCTTAGATATGTACCCAACAACAGTTGCACATACACGAGAGGGAATGTGTGCGTGAATGTTCACAACAGCCCTATTTTTAACGGTTAAAGCCTAGGTACTCATCAACAGAAAAATGTACAAGGCCTCAGCAAAGGACTTTCACACAACAATCCAAACAGATGAAGTATAGCAATTAACAATAGGGATTCACCTTAGTAATATAATATTAAGATATTAAGCAGCAGCTAAATAAGTCACTAAATTTTTCTTATAGCATGGCATGATACATTTCTGTGAAATTAAAAGCTATTGAACTAAATAAAGAACATATAGAGATGCAGTAAAAATATATAGAATTTAAATAATATATAGAGATGTAATAAAAATATAGCAAGAAAATGATGAACACAGGAGTTAGAATGATAATTTCTTAGTATGTAGGAAAGCAATTTCAAGATGCAGTTGAGCTGTGTTTCACAAGGGTGGAAGTTAATTTATTCCTTTATTCATTCAACAAATAGTATTAAATATTTATATATTAAATGCTGTTAAATGATAAAAATTATTAAGCACCAATTAGGTGTAAAGCTCTGGTATAAGTATAAGGGTAGTAATGGAACAGACAAACATGACTTTTACCTTCAAAAGGCTTGTGTTCCAATGGGAGAAAGGTTCTGGAGAAGACTAGGATCCAAAAAGTGTTTCTATCTTAATGAGGACAATAACATTCATCTTTGGAATGGAAAGAGTCTTCCCAAATTTCTTCCTGTATGTAACTTGTAAGTTCAGCAGGACTTCTGTAAAACAAATCCAAGTTGATAATAAATAACAAATTCACAGATACCTGAGCGTAGCATACCAAACCAACACTCAGAAGATATATTTGTAGAAAATATAAAGACATTGGTAACTACTTCACACCACTTACACACAGCTCCTCTTCCAGCACCAAGAAATTGATTATTTTAATTGATAAATTTATTAATAAACATATATTGAATCCCAACTATACATGAGTCCCTGTGCTTGAGTTTGAATGGCTTTAAACAGTTGTTTCTGAAACTTTAACAACATGCCCCAGCAGCAATGACTGCAGAAGAGATTTGGTCTCAAATAGTACAGATTTGTGAGTTCATATGAAGCTACATAGCCAGCAAGGTTGACACAAGATATTTTCCTAATGACTCATGAAGGTAACAGGTTTGCGTAAAGCATGACTCCTTGCAATTTATTTGGGGGAGTTGCTGATTGCTGCATGCTTAAAGCTCAAAATTCTAACTCTGGTTAATGAAAAGGTTAGAGCTGCTGAGTCAGACATGAAAGACCTGAGAACTACCCAGGTTATGGGCATCCTCACTTTCTCCTGTGCACAACTCTGATTCCTCTGTAGTTAGTCCTCACAACTCTCTCTTTCAGCCTTACTCTCTTACTACATAACTTCATTGTCACTAATTCCTGAGCTCTTTCTCACAAGTTTTCATCTTGATTTGACTTTACTTTCTGCTCACAGAAAAGAAACAGGTTAACTTCTTCTATATCTTTGTTTTTATAAACAAACTAACTGTTGGATGAGACCAGCTTAACTAGGACCCACAGAGTAGGACTTAAGGTTATTGTTGAAATTACTGGTAAATTGGATTCCATGCTCCTTTTGAGGGACTGCATCAAAGTGAGCACTACTAATTCAATTATCTGCTAATCCGAACAGAGGACCAGGCCGAGAACTGGAACCATGATAATAGGGCTTCCATGTTCTTCTGCAGAACAGCCTCAGGGAACTGTCCACACTGCCCAGGATGCCACCTCAGGGTGAAACATCCAAGGTTTGCTAGTTAGTGAGAGGCACTCATCGGTAAGAAGCTTTCTTTCTAATTTTAACCAGTTGTCAGTACATAGGACAGGAGGGAATCAGAACCTAATTGTGGCTATAAGAATGGATGCTGTGCAGAAATCACGTGACTGGGAGAGTGACTCCCTCTATCAGACAGGAAAAGATAATGCTCAAAAGGGAAGAGCCAAGGACTATTGGTCCACACTGTGAAAGGAGCAGTTTGTTTGTTTTGTGGGTGCGTTTTCCCTCTGTAAACATGTTCTGAGGCCAAGTGATTGGTAAATGTTTTATAAACTGGAAGTATAAACACAGACATTCTCTTCCAAAAATGGATCTTTAGGACTTCCCTAGAGAACTTGCTATTGTTTCTTCTGAATTCTGAATCTGGTCTTAATGAAAATGTTACACATCTAATATTTGAGGTGCTAATCCCAACATCAAAGAGAAGAAATGTTGAAAAGGTTTTGAGACACCCTACCAAAAGTCATTTCTGCTTCTGTGAAGGACACTTAAATGACATGCCTTAATAAAGGAAGAAGAGAAAAGAGATGAGTGTGTGTGTTTGTGTCTGTGTGTGTGTGTGTGTGTTGGGGTGGGGAGAGCTGGTACTTTGAAGAGCATTCTCCTTTAACCACATGTTCTGAGGCCTCTGCTCATGCCAAGTGACAGTTCAGTTTTCAAAGTCATTGTTACGTGCTTCTATTTTTTTCTCATAACATGACAACTTTCCTCTAAACTGGTCATGAATTGCTTTGAAATAGCTATTTTGATACAACTCAGAAATATTAATAAAACATCTATACATTGAGTGTATTGAATGCTTCACCAAATGGTGGACTTCTAAATAAATGGTCTCTCTGCAAATAAGATGCTTCTTCCCCTACCAACTTGCAGAGGGCTGGCCTAGAATTCAGCTCCTAACACATCTGTTCTCAGTTCAAGAGCCCCTACTCTGTCCTCCTAAATGATATCATTCAGCTGGATAAGAAAATTACAATATTTAAACTGTCCTGGAAGAAGAACAATATGTTTGGGGAGAGCATGTAGTGTGTACTGCCAAGGGAATGTACTCAAGTGTTCAGAGACAATCCTTCCTTACACATCTTTCCAGAAGAGAGAGGGCAGGGACTCTACAGCCTCTTATGTAAACCTTGCCCTGTGCAAGGGCCCCCTGGGATTTCCCTAGAGGGTCGTATTTGTGGACAATGTCTATTTTTGGTTTATGTAACACATCCTTTGTCATTTGGCTTCGGATGATATGTACATATTCGGGGATCTCTGAGAACACACACAGTGTGTGTGTTCTGAGCTTATCAGTCAATTGGTGTTTAACTACAGGCATCACCTCACCTCTGAGTTTTACATTTACTGAATCTGATATTGTGAAGAATATATGTTTCCTGATTTCTCCCCCTCCCCTTCTTCTCCCTCCCAATTCAAATCAACACAGTGGAATTACCAAACTAAAGAAAGGAGGTTGGTCACTAGTCTTACCCTATAAGGAACCACAAATTAAAGGTTGAACTATAATTACCTCTCTTTCTCACTCTCACTCCTCGTAAACAGATTAGGATATTTTCCCACTTTTCTCACTTATACCAGTGCTAGATTTGCAATCTTCTCTTCCTGCCTTTCCTCTGGTGTCCTCTTCATTGAACTTAAACTCCACATTGATGACCACCCCTGCCCCCAACCCATTTATCCTCAGCCTCCTTAAATCTAGCGTATTTCAGCCAACTTCAAGCACAGCCACCCTTTGACTTTCATCAGTGAATAAACACATGTCTACTTGTGATAAACTATACAATGAACACCCCACTCTTCTGATTCAATCTATCTTTTTCAGACCTAATGCCAACAACCTAGCAAGAGTCCTTGATTTCTCCCACATCTTCTTAATCGCTTTCCTGTCTCTGTCTCAGCTGAAGATCCACAGACCATTATTCTGACTTCCTAAATATTCAAGGTTCCCACCTCTGTACTTTAGCACAAATAGCCTCTACACAGGACTAACCTCTGTTTACACACATCCTAGATATGTTTTAAGACCAAAACACAGTTGCCTTCACAAAGCTTCCTCCTATGTCTAGATGCCAGGTTTAAGTTAGTCTTCCTTCTGCTCTTCACGGCACTGTGTTGCTTTGGTACAGTATATAGCTATACTTCGCTATTCAACTAAGTCCTATCCATGGACACCAACTACAGCAAACGGGATGAGATTGGTAAATTAGATGACATATGGGACACTGACCATGAGATCTGTGAGGAGGACAGTGGAGTCTCGCTCTGTCTCTTCCTTCATTCTTTGGCCAAATGTCAGCTTTTCATTGAGATTTACTTTGGCCCTTTTTGAAATCATAGCCCCACCAAAACACATGCTGATCCTCTTTCCCGGCCTTACTTTTTTTCTAGAGCATGTATCACTTCTAAACATATTATGTGATGTATCTTGTTACTGTATTTATTATTTATTTTCCCCCTATTCACTTGGATGTGAACTCAACAAAGACAAGAATTTTGTCTGTTATGTTTACTGTTGTATCAGAAACCTTAGAATAAACCCTAGATCCAACAGAATCTGCTTAGTAAATATTGGTCATTGTTGATAATATTGTGGTCAGTCGCCTAGCTAATGCATTTGAGACACAGAGAAGATCATTTTTTAGATGCATTTCCTCTGTATGACAAAATTATTTTAAGTTATGGTCAGGAAATAAGGCAAAAGATAATAAGAGCCAAAAATAGCAGACACTGACTAATTTATTTCATTCATATCTTTAATCATATTATTAAAAATATAAATTAATATTAAAGTTCAAAAACCCCAATTCTGCATAACTATTTATTTAACAGTTATTATATGTACCTAAGAGTTTGAACTTTGGTTCTTTGGTTGCAGCCTGATATAAAAATGTTGTGTAAATAATTATCTAATAACCAATAACCGAATTTTAAGAAAAACAAAATATCTTAAAAGGTACAATTAAGTCATGTCATTAACGTTTGATTTTATGTACATATTCTTTGTTTTACAACAATGAACAATGTTAAAGAATAAAGTATCTTCATAGCTTATGAAGATACGATTTAAATTCAGTAAAATATTTATATATTTGTAGGTGAACTAATGTGTACTTATCAAACAGAAATATCATGTCTCACTTCACAGTTTCTATTCTGACCATTGACTTAAATTTTACAAATAAATAAATGAATAAATAAACACTCCAAGCAGTCACAGGAATGACTCAGATTTTGTCTCTTTGCCTTTAAAAGTCATGATTTTCACATAAATAGAATTAAAAGCAAAAATCATGTGATTATCCCAATAGACATATAAAAAGCTTCAGTAAAATCCAAAATTCCTTCATGATAATAACTCTCAAGAAACTAGGTGTCAAAGGGACCTCAAAATAATAAAAGCCATCTATTATAAACCCATAGCCAGTATTATACTGAATGGAAAAAGTGGAAGCATTCTCCTTGAAAACTGAACAAGATAACACTCTCACCACTTCTATTCAACATAGTACAGGGACTGCTAGCCAGAGTGATCAGGCAAGAGAAAGAAATAAAAAGCATCCAAATAGGAAAAGAAATAAAACTGTCAGTCTTTGTGGATAATATGATTCTGTACCTAGAAAACACTAAAGAATGTGCCAAAAGGCTCTGGAACTGATAAATGACTTAATTAAGTTTCAGGATATAAAGTCCATGTACAAAAGTCAGTAGCATTTCTATACATCAATAATATTCAAGCTGAGAGCCAAATCAAGAACGTGATCCTGTTTACAATAGTCACACACACAAAAAACTTAGGAATACAGCTAATGAAGGAGGTGAAAGATCTCTACAAGGGTAACTACAGAACACTGCTCAAAGAAATCACAGATTACACAAATAAATGGCAAAACATTCTATGCTCATGCATTGGAAGAATCAATATTGTTAAAATGGCCAGACTGC